TTTTCGTTGGGAATTTGTGAAGTCCTAGATATCCTTAGGAGGAAAAAAAAGTCAAAATGGGATTCCTAACTGCTTGCATCTGTGAGAGATTCCGGAACCTTTGCAGTACTGTTGTCCTCCTCATTGAGGCTGGGAAAGACTGATGGTGAGGACGTTGATTGCCTCCTTGCTCAGAATGATGTTTTCTCATTTTCTAGAGGGATTTTAGTGTGCACGGATGTCATGGCCCGAGGAATAGACATTCCTGAAGTAAACTGGGTTTTGCAGTACGACCCTCCCAGCAGCGCAAGGTACGGCATGACGGAATGTGACCCTCTCTGTCAGGAATCCAGCCCCATGAATCCTGACGAAGATACACATAATGATGTTCATCAGAACATTACTTTTGGGGCACCTGGGTGGCTTAGTGGGTTAAGCTTCTGCCTTTAGCTCAGGTCATGACCTCGGGGTCCTGGGATCGAGCCCCACATGGGGCTCTCTGCTCAGCAGGGAGCCTGCTTACCAGCCTCTCTCTGCCTGCTGTTCTGCCTGCCTGTGATCTCTCTCTCTCAAATAAATAAAATCTTAAAAAAAAAAAATTACTTAGCAAAAATGGATGAACAGGTGAACCATCCTTGACGTGTGAAAATAGTGATGCCATAGTATACGATTTGTTATTTTCACATGCTTTCTTTTTCTTCTTTTTTTTTTAAACAGTGACAATTTTCTTAAAATATTTTATTGATTTATATGACACAAGAGAGAGAGCGGGAGACAGAGATAGCATAAGCAAGGGGAGCGGCAGGCAGAGGCAGAGGGAGAAGCGGACTCCCCACTGAATGGGAGCCCGATCCCAGGACCCTGGGATCATGACCTGAGCTGAAGGCAGATGCTTAACTGACTGAGCCACCCAGGCGCCCCTCCCTGTGCTTATTAAAGTTCTTGCACAGAAGCATCTGATAGATGCTTAAAGGAAATCAATACATGACTCCGTATACGAAAGTCTTACTCTCCCAGAACAAACTTAATTTCCTTATAGATCCTTCCAAACAGGAAAATGTGGGGAAATAGACCTCCTGAGTGGTAACGATCATTACTTTTTGTTGGAGGGCTTACAGGCCACTTTTCTCTTAAGTTTGTCTTCCAGTTTTCTACTAGGACCTGTTTTACCTGTATCATCAGATAGGCATACATGTGAACTTTCCTAGTTCACATTAAGTGTCTTGCTGAATCCTGTCTGGTTTGCGGTCTATATATAACTGCCAGCATTTGTATCTGTGACCCTAGTGAGAGGCAGGGTTGGGCTGAGCCATGGAGTCTGGGTCCCTGTTTGCCCACTCTCGCATGGTGATTGCCGTCCCGTCCCCCATTCACAGTGCCTTTGTTCATCGCTGTGGCCGTACAGCCCGCATTGGCCACGGTGGCAGCGCACTCGTGTTCCTCCTTCCCATGGAAGAGTCCTACGTCAGTTTCCTTGAAATTAACCAAAAAGTAAGTGGTCTCCTTTTTTCATATAGCATGCCCAGTGATAGGGTACTTGGTAGAGTCCTTTTCCAGCAAGTGGCCCGGAACTTGGAGGAGGGGTCTGCACACTCTGGGGGCCCAGGTGGTGATGCAAGGGCAGGAGCTGGCTGGCCTGAAGGCAGTGGAGAGGCTCCAGGCCCATTCAGGGTGGCAGCCATGCTCAGCTCCAGCTGAGTGTCAGTACTTGGGAACACAGACCTAGTGTTGGGTATTCCCCAACTAGAAATCAGGATTTTTATGTAAAATTGATTTTAAAATTTTCCTTTAAAAAATGTCAGACTAAGTAACGTACTTGGGAATTTGGGCTTCAGTGTCTCTGATTAGATTACAATGAATTGTTTTGCCTTTGGTTTTGCACTGGCTCTGATGGGGTTTTGGGGGGTGAGGGCATCCCAGCCAGAAGAGGTGAGCATGTGGTCTGTGTGCAGTGCCCCCTGCAGGAGATGAAACTCCAGAAGAACACAGGAGACCTCCTTCCAAAGCTCAAGTCCATGGCCTTGGCTGACAGAGCGGTGTTTGAAAAGGGCATGAAAGCCTTTGTGTCCTATGTCCAGGCTTATGCGAAGCATGAATGCAACCTCATCTTCAGAATAAAGGGTAAGGTGATTTCATGTAATTGTCTCCTTAAACACCTATGGCCTTACAAGTAGTGCAGGTGTGAAACTTCTTTGTCTTATGAAAATGTTAGGTGTGGGGCGCCTGGGTGGCTCAGAGGGTTAAAGCCTCTGCCTTCGGCTCAGGTCATGATCTCAGTGTCCTGGGATCGAGCCCCGCATCGGGCTCTCTGCTCAGCAGGGAGCCTGCTTCCCTCTCTCTCTCTGTCTGCCTCTCTGCCTACTTGTGATCTCTGTCAAATAAATAAATAAAATCTTAAAAAAAAATGTTAGGCGCATGTCAGGGTTAGTATTTTCTAAATATTTAAAAGAAGCGTTCTTAGGGTTTGTGTAGACAGAACAAATTTGCTGCCCAGTATTCCTTTTTGGTAAAAAATAATTATTTTAATTCTAATTAAAGCGAACCCATTCAATCATTCGGTTAGAAAAGAGCCGTTTTCTTTGGGTTGGTGCTTATGATTCTTTTTTTTAAGATTTTTATTTATTTATTTGACAGAGAGAGATCACAAGCAGGCAGAGAGGCAGGTAGAGAGAGAGGAGGAAGCAGGCTCCCTGCTGAGCAGAGAGCCCGATGCGGGGCTCGATCCCAGGACCCTGAGATCATGACCCGAGCCGAAGGCAGCGGCTTAATCCACTGAGCCACCCAGGCGCCCCTGGTGCTTATGATTCTATTCTGGGTGTGCTAACTCTGACGTTTTGGTTTAATTAGATCTTGATTTTGCTAGTCTTGCTCGAGGATTTGCCCTGCTGAGGATGCCCAAGATGCCAGAACTCAGAGGAAGGCAGTTTCCAGATTTCGTGCCTGCGGATGTTAACACAGACACCATTCCATTTAAAGATAAAGTTAGAGAGAAGCAGAGGCAGAAACTACTGGAGCAACAAAGAAAAGAGAAAAGAGAAAATGAAGGGAGAAGAAAATTCATAAAAAATAAAGCTTGGTCAAAGCAGAAGGCCAAAAAGGAGAAGAAGAAAAAAATGAATGAAAAAAGGAAGAGGGAAGAGGTACAATTTTCATTACTTGAATACTCAGCGGAGAATTCTGAATGAATTTTATCAAAGTGTCTTGGAGTAGGGATTGCGTGGGGCTCTCATATTTCTGTATTCTGTTGGGACTTGGTTGGGAGTGTGACATGTTTGTGGAAGCTGATCTGAGAGCGTGTCCGTTGCTGTGAGAGCATGTCCCTAAAGAGTTCAGTGGTTTGTCACTTTGTGCATTTAGGGTTCCGATATTGAAGACGAGGACATGGAGGAACTTCTCAACGACACGAGGCTCTTGAAAAAGTTTAAGAAAGGCAAAATTACTGAAGAAGAATTTGAGAAGGGGTTGTTTTCAAGTGGCAAGAGAACAGTCCCGAGAGCAGATATGGAGATCCCTGATTCGGAAGAGGACTGCTGATCCGGCCCCAGGGCATACTTGAGCGCAGGGAGAATGGCGAGTAGGCCCTGCACAGCGCTCCACACAGTGCCCACACACTTTCCCCGTGTGCTGGACCCACAGCTGGCATCCAGGAAAGTCGTGTTCACACTGGGAACAGAGGGCGCGCTTCACACTCATGACTGCTTTATGGAAACCACAGCAGCCTTTAAGGCCAACAGAAGAGGGTAAGACTGAGTGTAAATAATAGATGTATTTATTTTGATGGGTCCCCTCTAAATTAAAGCTCATTTTTCTGTGCCTATTTTATACTTACTTTCTAACATAAAGATACTGAAGTATACTTGATTTTTGGCCTTTTAAGTTTCCTTACTATTTGTGGGTGTCTTTGCACCTGACCTTTGTGGGTGTCCTTGCCCTGAACTTGAGTTCTCTCTCTGAGGAACTGCACAGAACACCCACGTGGAGGGGCTGCTGTTGCCGGGGTTTTCTTCTCTTTGAAGAATTGTCTCCACCACAGTTTTAGGGGAAGGAAGCAAGTCATTCTAGGGAAAAAAATTATGCTTTGTGTCGAATAAACTATTGCCTTCTATTTTGAATGTCTTGAGTGTGTGAATGTGGTTACATTGTCTTCACCAAGATGGCCAGTACCTCTGGGCCTGGGGTAGCACTCAGTACCAATACGACACCATAGAAAAATCTTGCGTGTAGTTTATTTGAGAAGATGCTGAATTTGTCCCCAGGTACAATTTTTAAAAAGCTGTTCAGGAGCAAACATGTTTTAAAGGTAATTCACATCTTCCACAGGTACAGACTTTTGGTTCACAGATGTTCTGGAAGGTCTTCGTATGTGCTGAGCCACGGAGGCTGCTCTTGCTAAATGTTGTTTCTACCTTCCTTGGGTTCTCTTGGTGGTTTCCTTCCCGTCTGTCCCAATACCGATGTTAGGATGGCAGCCCCAGGCTTGAGGTCACCACTGGAAGTCTGATGTGACTTCAGTCTGGGTTTCCAGCCTTTCTCATAAGGCACCATTTATAATGTGTCCTGGGTGGCTGTTGGTTTCCACAGGGGCGCCTGGTTGCCTGTAGGAACACCTGCTTTTTCAGGCCTGCTTCTCTTTAATCGATGCTTTTGGCAAATCAGTCTGGAGTGCAGGTTAGAAGGGAGGTGGGCTTGGGTATGTCTTTCATTGGTTAAATAGCCAATAATATAACTTGTATTTCTGGAAACTGGAAAGTATCTAGACACCATAAACACAATTCAGGTTGGGTTTTAGGGAAACCATGAACACATTTTAGATGGGGCTGAAATGGGTAAGAAATTTTCTTATGGTCGTAAGAAATCATAAGTCTTATGGTTTTAGGTCCTTAGTCCTTAAGTCTTTGTTAAAAAAAAAAAAATCAGTTTTGGGGGCATCTGGCTGGCTCAGTCAGTGGAGCATATGACTCTTGATCTCGGGGTTGTTAAGTTCGAGCCCCACGTTGAGGGCAGAGATTAAAGATAAAATCTTTAAAAAAAAAAAAAAAATTCAGTATGGCCTGTCCCATGGAGGGGTCAGGAAGCTACTCACCCCGCCCCAGGTATATCAGCTGTGCGGCAGCAGGAAGGGACGCGGTGGTTACAGATACAGCTTGATGAGCTCGTCGCTGACTGCTGAGGGCGTCAGCACCCCCAGGTCTGTAAACAGCAGTGTTATTAAGGAAGGGGACGTGTAGTCGACCCATGGGTGCTCCTCTTTGAGATCTTGTTTGGTCTGCATCGTCTTCAGAGTATCTGCCTTATACTGAGGAGACAGGAAGCACGTGTTGGTTTTCCCCACACAACCAGGGCTCAGAGGTGGTGTGGGTTTGGCCTGAGCCATCAGTGCAGTGCGTAGCTAGCTACAACCTGAAAGTGTTCCCTGCACGTGGGGAAAGCCAGCTGAGTGGCACGCTGGCGAGGAGGGCAGAGCGCAGTTGGGACGTCAGGATGGCGGCCTGGCGGCCTCCCGGCCAAAGGTTTCAATTTAATGAAAAACCCAAACTGTGTCTCCCCTCACTGGCATGCTAGATTCACGGCTCCAAACCTCTCGAGATAACAATTTCAGGTCTTTACAGAGAGCTTTACTATGTGCCTGGTACGTGCCAAGCTTTTCTCCTGGATTTTCTCAGAACTGTCGTATGGCTCAGAATGCACTTACAGCTCATCTGACAGATAACGGACATTCAGAGCACAGAGCGAGCGCATCTGCCCCGGGCCGTGTGGTTAGTGAGCGGTGGAGATGGGGGCTGAGCCTGGAGAGTTGACTCCAAAGCTTGGACTGAACCATCAGCTTTCCCTATGTCCTTGCAGCTCCCTCTCATGCCTAAGAGAGACTGAGAATGGACGTTCTGGGGACAAATGGGACTCTGAGTCTGAGCTCAGCCAACCACTGATCTTTGCATGGCAAGTGTGGGAGCAACTAGTGATGGGAGGGGAGTAACTCACTGAAATATTCCTACACTGCTTCTTCCCAAAGGCCTCAGTTGAGACTCAAATACCCCTTCAAATATGTAAAAAAGAAAGTCTTGCCTTAAACTTATCTGGGACATCCTGTTGGTTTAGTGGGAAGAGTCGTACAAACTTGAAACTTTCTGCAACAACATAAAAAGGCTTGTTCTGGGCTTTGGCACACACGGCCATCTGGTTGGTTCCAATCTGGAGAGTCAGAGAAAAAGTAGAAGGATGAGATCTTATAGCATATTCGAAAACGTGTGAATGAACATAAAATATGTAAATCTGGCTTTGGAATCAAAGACGATCTTTTTAAAAAGACGACAGAATCGACATTTCTCTCAAGATAAACAAATGGCCAATACACACATTCTCAAAAGATGCTCAAGATTGTCGTTATTCGGCAAACACAAGTCAACCCACAAGGAGGTACTACTTCACACCTACCAGCATGGCTATAATTGAAAAACCAAAATAACGAGTGTCGGCAGGAATGCAGAGAGACTGGAATGCTTGTGCAGTGCTGAGGAGAATGGACAGTGGCGCGGCTACTATGGAAAAATCTGGTGGGTCCTCGGGATGCTAGACATGGAATTACCACATGACCCAGAAATTCCACCCAGGTTCGCACCCGCAGGAACTGCAAACCAGAACTCAAATAGGCGACTACACCCGTGTTTGTAGTAGCCTTATTTACAAGAGCCGAAACGTAGAAATGACTCAGGTGGACAGGAGTCAGTGGGCAAACAAACGTGCTCTCTGCACGCGAAGGAACGTGACTTGGCCATAAACAGGGATGGTGTGCTGACTCCCGCTACGACGAAGATGGGCTTCGAGAGCGCCATGCTGTGTGAGACCGCGGCCCTGAACTGTACATGTGAAAACCCTATGCGGTATCCATTTCACCACGCAGCAAAGGATCATGAGATCTTTCCATGTTAAGCAATGGATGGAGAAATTTTAACACACTATATTGATGTCAAATATGCCCAATTTTAAAAAAACAACAACAATCAAACCCAATTCTAGTTAAAACATGTTTTGAGGAAGATAAACTGCAGTCTCGTAATTCACATAGATCAAAGAAATGGGACCAAAATTTGGCCACTGCAGTGGCATCTGGGGACTGAGAGACAATTCGCCGGGATGGTGTCATCTGGAGGCTAAGAGGGTGCTGGGGGAGCGAACGGTAACGTCGCCAGGAAGTGGGTCAGCGACCCCTCCCTGCCCGGAGCAAGGACTGTGGGGAACTGACATTCTTACCTTGTTGATAATCCCTCCGTTTTCAACAACTCCTTCAGCACCAACTATGACAAGATCCACTTTCTCCATGATATACCTAGAGGAATTTTTAACAAAATTACACCCTTTTCTTGGCTCTTACGAGCAGCAGTATCACCTGCAAAGACCGGTATTCCATTTTCACCAATGTAAGTTCCTCTCATCACTTCCTTCCTTCAAAAGAGCACTAAACCCGAGACAACCTGGGCACCGCTGGCGGTTCTGCAACCACGAGCATGAAAACGCGCTGTGACCACAACCCCACCCCCGACCCCGCCGTATGTGTGCCCTCCCCACGGCTGCCCGGCACATGTACACGCACGGGTACAGTGACGAACGTGAGAATCCCGTGACCCGCTCTTTATCCTCACTACCTGTGCGACACTCTCTTTTCTGATCGACTTCAAACAAAACAGAAATTTAAAAACCTATCGTGATCCGGAGTTGGAAGAAAGTGTTATGTAATTCAAGAATCTTTGAGCTACAGTGAAGGCCAATTTGCCTTTGAAAATGAACAATGAAGTAGAATTCTTCAAAATGCTTCCTTTTGAACGCTTTCCTAATTTCCTTAATTATCTGCCTTATGTCTTTTTTTCCTTTTCTTTTCCTGAGAGACTTTCAGTCCTGTTTTCTTTTGCGAGGTACATTGGCAATTCTCAGAACGTGTGTCCTCAGTTTTGGAAGTGAAGTCATACGGGTAAGTCAAAGAATTCCAGTGTGCCACTGAGGACAGCCCATGCCTTCCGCTGAGGAGGGAGTCCTGATTATATGTACTGACTCGAGCCTGACTTTCGCACCTTGCTCTTAAGATGCATCATAAGGGACCCTGGGTGGCTCAGTAGGTTAAGTGTCGGCCTTTGGCTCAGGTCATGGTTCCAGGGTCCTGGGATTGAGTCCTGCATTGGGCTCCCTGCTCAGCAGGGAACCTGCTTCTTCCTCTCCCTCTGCCCCTCCCCCTGCTTGGGCTCTCTCTCTTTGACAAATAAGTAAAATCTTTAAAAGAATAAAATAAAATGCACCTTAAGGCCACATAAATGACTCCCATTCTCTGAAACACGCTACAGCTCGTCTCCTGCATACACCATCGAGACCTTTTCACAAGCTTGCTGGTTTAATGCAGCCATCGATTCGGAGGCAGAACATGAGCCAATGCAGTTCTATGAATGGGACTCCAACCGGAAACCCTGCTCCAATCTGACCCCAGGAGTGGGTGAGGAAGAGGAACAGTGCTCAGGGGAGATGGGAACTTACCCAACAGCAGCATCCAGGACCACAGTGACAGGGACGTTGAGGTGGCAGAGAGCTCTGGCCATTTTCTTACTGGAAAATGACATTTTTGAGAACATGAGCTAAAGTCCCATAGTGGCAGATGAGGAGTCACTTAATTTGGACAATGGTAAATCACAATAGCTTGAAACTCAGTTCATATTCAGGGACTAAGGGGCATGTTCTAAGACTCTGGACTAAGGAAACAAGAATTTGGGTTCTTTAGGAGAAAACATGTTTCAGGAAAACTATATTCTTGGGGACTCTGGGTAAGAGATGCAAATACAGCAAAAAAGGAGACAGTTTTTTCTTTCATGATCTTCTGGATGGAGATGGGAATTATCTACTCCTTGATAAAAATTTTTCCATTGGCATATCTAGGTCCTGCACAGTGGCCTACTACCAATACACAGAGATTTTTCTTTGGGGACAGGAAAAGGCACAATGGCGAGGCTGAGTCACTGGTCAGTGCGGGGGCATGGTCTGGGGCTTCCTACACAGGTTCTAATCCTTCCCTTGCTCTCTAAAATGACCGCTGGGCCCAGAACCAAACGGAATGATACTTGCCCCGATAAGTCGGGCTGTGACTCTGTGATGTACACACTGAAACGCTTCTTGGCCGCCACTGCTGCCTCCAAAACTCTCAGGACCACTCTGGAGTAGGCATGAGTTAATATTCTCTGCGGACCAAGAAAGTTCTGTCAAAAGGGCAAACTTCACAGTGATCACCCCATACTCTCTGCCCTGAGCATGCCTGTTCCCAGTACCCCCAGGCTTCTCTCTATGCTGTCTCACAAATCAACTGGAATCAAGTGAGATTCTTGATGGCCCGTCTGTGGGGGGTGGGTCACCTCTTCCCATACCAAATGCAGGAGTGGAATCTCCATGTGGTGTTGCTCATGAGATACAAAAGCCTTTCTATCTGAAGGCTCTTGCTCGGTTCCTTTGGGGGCGCCTTCCTAGTTCAAAGACATGGTTCTAAGACAAGGCCCGCAGGCACGAGGCAGGTTGCAGGAAGAAATGCAGGGGCTCGGGTAAGGCCAGCAGCAAAGAGGAGAGACGGAGCCCCAGCTGTTGTCACACGGTCCTTACTATTGCCACATCATCTGATTTTTTTCTTGAGAATCCAAGACAGAAGTGTTGGCTAACTAACTTCTTTTTAAATTTATAAACACCATTTCAGGTAAACAACCCATCTGTGGGCCAGATACAATGGGCAGACACTCACTTCGGCTCTGTTCTAATGAACGGACTACGCGGTTCTGTATAATGCAAAACTGACAGAGCGCGCCCTCGCTCCTTTCTGGGCATCGTCCGGGAGCCTGTCAGCGATGCAGATTCTCAGCTCCCCGACCCAGACCTGCTGAATCAGAACTGGCACTGAACAAGATCCCCAGGTGGTTCGTCTGCAGGTTTCAACGTGGGCAGCTCTGCTCTGAATTTAGTCTGAAGTCAGCGCTGATGCAGGTGGTATTAATACATTCACACACACCAGGGCGCAGGAGGCGGTCACAGTCCTGCCTCCATGTGGCCCAAGGCAGCTTTGTTTGCAACTGGCTTTTGTACAAGTTCCGCTCACATCTATTACGTCATTTCGTGAAGAACACACTTCAAAGGTTGGGAAGGGGGTAATAAAACAGGACGAGATTTCAGAGTCAAACACAAGTAAAGAATTTTATGGTCCGTGGAGGCTTGGATGGCAGGAGAGGGACGCCACTGGAGAGACATCATAAAAGTTTTACTGCCCCTTTGCTGGGGGACTGGCTTAACCTGCAGTTCCCGTCCTCACTTCACCTAGAATCCCTTGGCAGCTCCGCGTCTCAGCAGTAGCGCCAGAAATGAAATGAAAGACAGCATCCCAGGCCAGCCCTGACCTTCACCGAGAAGACACTCAGTATGAACCAGTGCCAACAGCTGTTAGGTGTTGATTTAATTTTGATTTAGTACATACCCGATAATGAAAACACTTCTTTGATAACGACATCTTATTAAACCAAGAATCATCCATGCTGTCCCACTGGTTTTCTCTCTTCTGGTTTATTTTATTTAAAGTTTTATTTACTGTTTTTTAGTAATCTCTACACCAAATGTGGGGCTCAAACTCAGAATCCGGAGATCAAGAGCTGTACGCTCTTCTGACCAAGCCAGCCCGGCGCCCTCTCAGCCTGTTTGATGTGCCAGCCTCTGTAGTAGCATCTACGCGTTTGTACAGGGCTTATGTGCCAGGCATAGTACAGAGTCCTTAGATCGTCTCAGTACCTCCTCCCAGAGCAACCTGATGAGGCAGGTGCTGCTGTTACCTTGATTTAGCGGATGAGAAAACCAGCGCAGAGTGGTTAAGTAACTGGTCCAAGGCGACACAGCGAATAAGTGGCAGAGGAGGGATTTTCCCCCAAGAGTCTAAGTCCAAAGTCCTTGCTCCCAATTACCACATGTGAGGAAATCTACTCACCGCCCCATCTTTGATGAAAGTATGGCACAGATCTGCAATTTTATTTCTTGATAGAGATGTTCTCCTGAGAAAAATTTCTCCCCGCTCAATCATGATCTTTTTACATTTAGAGTAATCCTAGGAAGAAAAGAGCAAAATGAGAGGTAGAGCCGAGGATACCTGCAGCCACACACAGGAGCAGACAGGTGGCCCGAGGAGGGCGGGGCTTACTGAATATTCTAGAGAAGTCAGGCTGATGAAGCGCAGGAAGAGCTTCCCACCAGAGGACACGGCCACGGAGGAGTCCACGCCACACAGGGTTTCTATGGCACAGGTGAGATTCGCTCGCAGGCCCTGGATCGTCTCCCCTGCATGGGTCACGTGAGGAATGCGGTGTTCAGGTTAGTATCACAGCCCCTTGACAGATCTGTGATTGATATATTATGCAACCAGAGACACCAGTGAGCAGACAGGGTCACTGCTCTGATGGGACTCCCCTTCTCGAGGAAGAGGCAGACAGTAAACAAGCAAAGAAATACACAAGTTACAGACTGAATGAGGACAGAAAGCAGCAGAATGATGAGAAACGTGGGGCTAACAGGGATGGCCTCTGGAGTGGAGGCCATTTAAACTGAAACCCGAGTAAGAAAGGATCCAGCCCCGTAAAGGTCCAGTGGGAAAGGTACAGGTGCACACTATAACAAATCAGAGACCTGAGATGGGAATGAACTTGATGTGACAGAGAGGCCACCAGACTGAAGCAGTTTAGTGAGGGACGGCATGGAAGGAAATAAGCAGAAGTGGCAGAAGAGGTCTGAGAGGCGGTGTAGAAAAGGCTCAGTGTGTATGTGTTATTGTAGGTACAATGGGAAGACACTGCAGGTTGTCTTAGAGACACATGTCTTTAGGCCAGCCCTCTGGATTAAAGAAGGCATTATCAATACTATTATTGTTATTTTGCTTGTGAAAGACATATGCTTTACCAAGAAACTTATATTTAGGATGCCTGAAAGGGTAGGCGATCACAATGAATGACGCTAATACTAGAATTCTGGAATACTCTGTGGCAAGTGCACAAATTCTGGCACAAGACAGAAGCTCCGTGAACACTTACAAAGCTGAACTGTTGCTATAATTTAAGATTCATGGTTAACTTGATATAACATAGTCACTCTTGATTCAAAGTGTAGCTCACTTATGAAAGGGGACCCATTTAATGATGACTGATGGGCTCTTTCCAAGTCAAAATGAAGACTGAAATGAAGAAGTTGAAACAGAGCTGCATTACCTTACATAGGCCCCCACGCAGTTTCACTTTCTACACTTTTTTTTTTTTAAAGATTTTATTTATTTATTTGACAGAGAAAAATCGAGCGTGCACAAGTGCACAAGCAGTGGGAAGGGGCAGAGGGAGAGGGTGACACAGACTCCTAGGATCCTGGGATCATGACCTGAGCGGAAGGTGGACACTTAACTGACTGAGCCACTCAGGCGCCCCAACTTTCTACACTTCTGCCAGTTCCTAGAGGAGTGTTTGAATATGACCCTCTTCACCTTGATCTCTCTTCAAGAACTCCAGCAAAGTCCGGATGGCAGCTACTGCTGAGGCCATGTCAGGATCTTCTTTCATCTGAGACTTAAAGTAGTCAATTAACTCTGGGGAGGGAGAAAAAAGTGATTCATCAAATTCATTTAGCAGGTTGTAAGACCGGAGAGCTTTTCAGTGACTTAAGAAATAAACTAATTTTATTTAAGATTTTATTTATTTTTTTGAGAGGGAGAGATAGAGAGGGCACACATACACACGAAGGGAGGAGGCAGAGGAAGAAGCAGACTCCTGCTGAGTGGGGAGCCTGACGCAGGACTTGATCCCAGGACCCTGAGATTATGACCTGAGCCAAACGCAGATGCTTAACAGACTGAGCCACCCAGGTGCCCCAGAAGCAAACTAATTTTAAAAATACTTTCTTTTGAGGGTGTTTGGCTTCAGAGGCACTATAAATGCTGATGGGACTAGAGATGACCCGACTTTAGTATTTACCAGACGTGTTTCTCATTTTTGAAAAAGCTATCCGTGCACAAAAGGCATAAAATTTAAGCACCACCACGTGACAGTGGTAGGTCATCCTCCCTCTTATCCTTGACTACAAGTCCTGGGAGAATCCCAGAGTCAACCACTGTACCAACTTTCCCTCCACCTGTCCAGACAGTCCGTGCCAATTCTAGCCTGTTCACCTACTTACATATGTACATGTACTTGCAAAGGTCCATCCCTCTATTTTTTAAATGATACGCATCATATGTCAGTTTGCCCTTGTGTTTCACTTAATAAAACACCCTGATAACCATATTAGATGAGCACATCAAATACGTCTTTTTAAAAAAATTCTAGTACCAGATCCAGTAAGGCGGGGAATCTTACTCATACTTTACATATGAGGAAATCACGACTGCCGAAATCTGCACACCTCGTCTAAGTCTCCCTTTTTTTGGAGATGGGCACTCGAAAGCGCTGGGAGAAGGAAGGTCTGGGAATACCCTCGGGACCCATCTTACAGGGACAGCGAAAGGGACCGAGTCGCTACTGGAAGCGGCACATCCAATCCATCAGCCCAAGCTTGGAAAGTGACTTCTGGAGGGACCCCCGTGCGTCTCTGCTTTAGGCCCAACAGGCCACGAACAGGCCACGTCCCGTCCCGACTCACCATTGCTGTCCATTGTGCCCTCCGGATCGCGCAGCCCGAGGGGACCGGGAAAGCCCGCGCTGCCTGGTAGAGTCCCACGACCGCAGGAGCTCTCAGCTACAGAGACTGACAGACAGCACGCCGCGGGACTCCACACTCCACTTCCGGCGCCTTGGGGCGGGGCCGTGCGTACGCGCGCCAAGAGGCCTGTAGGTCACTTGGCCGCGCCGGAAGTCGGGGCGCGCGGGCTCCGGGAGGCGCGCTTGACGGCTGACTGTGCGTTGGGGGATCCTGGCAGCCATGGTGTCAGATGGTGAGGGGTGTGCGGGGAGGGACCCCCGACCGCGGGACCGGGCGGTTTGGGCTTGGCCAGGACCACCCAGCTGGAGCGTTATTGGGGGGCTGGGCAGCCTTTTTAGTCTTTAGAGGAGTAGCAGATACATTCATTTACTCAGTAAATAGTTTTGAATGGCCTCCTGTGTGCCAGGCGTTGTTTTATGCGCTGGGAATACAGCAGAGAACATGGCAGTCAGGGGCCTTCGTGGAGGTTACAGTCCAGTGGGCGAGGCAGACAGTAGGCAAGCAAATAATAATAATTTCGGAGGATAAGTCAATCAGAGAAAGACAATTATCATATGATCTCCCTGATAGAAGGAATTTGAGAGGCAGGGCGGGGGACTTGGCGGGTAGGGAAGGAAAAAGTGAAACAAGATGGGATTGGGAGGGAGACGAACCATAGGAGACTCTTAATCTCACAAAACAAACTGAGGGTTGCCGGGGGCAGGGGGGTAGGTAGAGGGTGGTTGGGTTATGGACATTGGGAAGGGTATGTGATATGGTGAGCGCTGTGAAGTGTGTAAGCCTGACGATTCACAGACCTGTACCCCTGGGGCAAATAATACATCATATGTTAATATAAATATTTAAAAAAAATTTCGGAGGGTGACGAGTTGTGAAGACAATATACTGGGATGCTGCAGTTCGTTGTGATTAGGGGATGATCATGGAAGAGCTACTTAGAGAAGAGTCCAGGTACTGAAAGGGAGTCTTGAATGACTCTGCAAAGGCTGTGTGGCACATTGAGCCACTACATTACACTAAAACAGAATGGGGGACTGGAGGGTAAAGGAAGGTGGAGAGACTTCCATTCATACGTTAAACTACCAGTTATAGAGTCTGATGCCTTTTTTTTTTAAGATTATATTTATTTGAGAGAGTGCTTGCACAGGAGTGGGGTGGGGGGCGGGGGAGAGGGAGAAACAGACACCCCGCTGAGGAAGGAGCCTGACTCCAGGCTCCATCCCATGACCCTGAGATCATGACCTGAACTAAAGGCAGATGCTTAACCAACTGAGCCGCCCAGGCGCCCTGAGTCTGATGTCTTAAGAAAAAAGAGACCCAGGTGGTGGGAGTGAAGTGAGCTAGAGGGATGAGAGCAGGAAGCTTAAGTAGATGCGTGGCTCTTGTGGGCCATGATAAAGAGGTTGAACTTTGTTTTTAAGTGTAATATGAAACCATGGTAGGGAGGAATAAGCAAATAATTTCTACAGTCTAATTTATAATTTTAATTTAATTTAATTTATTTATTTGAGAGAGAGAGCATGAGCAGGGAGGAGGGGTGCAGGCAGAGAGAGGAGCAGGCTCCCCGCTGAGCAGAGAGCCCAATGCCGGGCTTGATCCTAGGACTCTGGGATCATGACCTGAGTCTAAGGCAGATGCTTAACCGACTGAGCCACCCAAGCACCCCTGGTTTATAATTCTGTTTATTTATTTATTTAATTTATTTTTAAGACTTTATTTATTTATTTGACAGAGACACAGCGAGAGAGGGAATACAAGCACAGGGAGTGGGAGAGGGAGATGCAGGCTCCCCGCTGAGCAGGGAGCCTGATGTGGGGCTCGATCCCAGCATCCGGGATTATGACCTGAGCCGAAGGCAGACACTTAATGACTGAGACACCCAGGCGCCCCATGACTTATAATTTTAAAAGGTCACTTTGGCTGCTGTGTGGAAAAGGGAGCAAGAGTGGAAATAGGGAGTCTAACTGTCCATGCTTATCTTTTTCAATCTATACCACCATTCTGTGAGCGAGGCAGGCCTGGCATGGCCCATGTCTACAAATTGTGGGGTAGAGACCCAAAGAATTCACCGGGCAGTGCATGGGTATAGATACTCATCTCTCCTGTGAGGCGACACTGTTTTTTTCCAGGCCTCTGGGTAGTAGCAAGGACTGGCTGGCCCTGAGAGGTGTGGGATGGGACCTCATGGAAAATAAGGCCAAAGGATTGTAGGCTTGTGAGTAGAGGAGTGAGGGCCTGCGAAAGACAGTTAAGTGCTTCTGTGCGAGGCTTTTTTGTGTGTGTGATTTGCACATATCATTTCATCCCAGCAAAAATCCTCATTCTGTAAGGAGTCCACAGTCTAGTGGACTAGCTTTAGCAGAACTGGCGAGAGAGATCAGAAACAACCAACTGTAAAATGAGATAATGAGTACTAAGTGGCATTAAAAAAGGGTCAGAAGTGGACAGTGGGGTATTGAAAGGCCACACTCTTTACGGTCAAGCGGATCTGTCTTTACAGCAGGGAGTTTTGCTGCTTGCTAGCACGCCGTGTGACTTCGAGCAAGCTCCTTTCATCTGCAAAATAGGAGTGCGGTATAGCCTAATTGTCTGAGACAATGTGGGTTATGAGATACGTTTTTGTTTAGTATACCACTAAGAGAGATGTGCTGCCAGTCTTAGCTGTAAGATACCATCCTGATTTTAGCAACTGCTAAATGTTAAAAAGAAAAAAAAAAAGGAGAGTGGCCATGTCATAATTGATGGAAGGTGGCAGTAATATATATAGTCCAGTATATTGGGTTATAGGATTACATATGCCACTGGCTGATGCAGAGATGGCTGACATTCGTGTTCTCCTCAAGTAGGGAGCCAGGACCTGTTGGAAGACCTGGGGAGGGTCTTTACAAATTGGGATTGTTGGCTTGGATACGCTTTCATGAGGCTAATGTGTTTATCCTTTGTTAATACTTTCAGAAGATGAATTGAATCTTCTAGTTATCGTAGTTGATGCCAACCCAATTTGGTGGGGAAAGCAAGCATTAAAGGAATCTCAGGTAAGACTGCTTGAGGAGGCCTATGGATAATTCTGGTTTAAGTGTATTTGTATTGCTTTTTTGGAAATCAGCTTCATTAAAAAAAAAATCAACTTTTAAAAAAAAAGATTTTATTTATCTATTTGATGGAGAGAGAGCGAGCACAAGCCGGGAAAGTGGCAGGCGGAGGGAGAGGGCGAAGCAGGCTCCCCGTGGAGCAGGGAGCCCAGTGTGGGGCTCGATCCCAGGACCCTGAGATCATGACCTGAGCTGAAGGCAGCCGCTTAACCGACTGAGCCACCCAGGTGTCCCAAAAAATCAGCTTTATTAAGGCATATTTTACATATCATGAAGTCCATCCATTGTAATGTACAATTCAATTCTTTTTTAGTGAAAAATCAGAAAAAGAATGTAACTACCACTGCAGTTTCATTTTAGAACATTTCTGTCATCCTAGAAAGTTCCCTCATGCCTGTTCAATCAAGTGCTTCTACCCTCTGGTTGCAGGCAACCACTGATCTGCTTTCTGCCTCTATAGTGTCTTTTCAGGACATTTAATATAGTCCGTGCAATACGTAGTCCTTTATTTTTTAATTTTTTTAAAAAGATTTTTATCGGACAGACAGAGATCACAAGTAGGCAGAAAGGCAGGCAGAGAGAGAGGAAGGGAAGCAGGCTCCCTGCTGAGCAGAGAACCCGATGCGGGGCTCGGTCTCCGGACCCTGGGATCATAAACTGAGCTGAAGGCAGAGGCTTTAACCCACTGAGCCACCCAGCCGCCCCCAATATGTAGTCCTTTAAAAAAAGTTATTTTGAGGGGCACCTGGGTGGCTCAGTGGGTTAAAGCCTCTGCCTTCAGCTCAGATCATGATCCCAGGGTCCTGGGATCGAGCCCCGCATCGGGCTCTCTGCTCAGCTGGGAGCCTGCTTCCCCCTCTCTCTCACTGCCTGCCTCTCTGCCTACTTGTGATCTCTGTCTGTCAAATAAATAAATAAAATCTTTAAAAAAAAAAAGTTATTTTGAAATGTTTTATTATGAAATAATTACAGACTCCTAGGAAATTGTTTAAAAAAAAAAAAAAGGTAACAGGGGTCCCGTGTACCCTTGCTGCAGCTTCTCCCAGTGGTAGCATCTCGGGTACCTAGAGGACAGTAACAAAACAAGGAAATTGACGTCAGTACACTCTTGAGACCTTACTCTGATCACAGCAGTTTCACCTGCACTCGTGTGTACGTGTGGTTCTGCGCTGTCTTATCATGAGTATAGATTTGTGTAACCACCAAACCACCACCACAGTCAAAACAGAACCATTCTAACATACCCAGGAGCTCTCTAGTGCTCCCTTTATAGATGCTGTCCCTTTGTAGTCAGTCCCTGGTCCTGAGCCACGGTAGATACTGATCTCCTACTCTTGTCCAGCACCTTAGTTCTGTAAATAGGTCATAAAGTGTTTTCGAGATTTTTTTTTTTCCCCCTCAACAGAATGCCCTTGATCATTTTAGGCCGGTCCATTTAGCAAAGTTTGTCCTTTCTGTTGTGGGATGGTGTTTCGTGGCATGAGGTAACACAGTTTGTCCCGTCACTTACCTGGGAAAGCTCTCCATTTGGGTAATTCTTTTCAGTTCTTGGCTAGTACATCAAAAGCTGCTCTGAGAATTTGTATAGAGGTTGTTGTGTGGGTAGACGTTTTCATTTCTGTGGGATAAGAGTCCAGGATCGCAAGATCCTGCTAGAACGTAGGGTAATCGTGTGTTTGGTTTTATAAGAAACTGCTACACTGTTTTCTAGAATGGATTTACATTCCCACCAGCAAAGTGTGAGAGATGCAGTCTCTCCCTCCAGCATTCGATGCTGACATGTTTTTGTACTGTTTTCATAGCTGGGTAATGATTCCTTACGGTGAATCTTTTTTTTTTTTTTTTTTAAAGATTTTATTTATTTATTTGACAAGCAGAGATCACAATTAGGCAGAGAGGCAGGCAGAGAGAGAGGAGGAAGCAGACTCTCTGCTGAGCAGAGAGCCCGATGCGGGGCTCGATCCCAGGACCCTGGGATCATGACCTGAGCCGAAAGCTGAGGCTTTAACCCACTGAGCCACCAGGCGCCCCCCTTACGGTGAATCTCTATTGCATTTCCTCAGTAGCTGGCAGTGTCGCACGGCTTCTCGCAGGCTTATTGGCCATACAGATAAGCCTCCTGAGATGTGTTTGCATGTCATGTATCCATTGTTTGGTTGGATTGTTGGGTTATGTTTAACTATTGAGTTTTTAGATTCCTTTATGTATTCAAGAGATAAGCCCTTTTTTCAGATATCAGATGCTGAGAAAATATCAGTATTTTCTCCCAATCTTTAGCTTGTCTTTTCATCCTCTTGTGGCGATCTTTCACAGAGCAGGAAGTCTTTTTAATTTTGATCAAGTCCAGTTACTCGAAATTTAAAAAATATAGCCTGTGCTTTTGGTGCTTTTGGTAAGAGCTCTCAACGTTGTGTAGGTCACAGAGATTTTCACCAGTGTCATCTGAAAAGTTGTACATTTAAATCCACAATCAAGGGATGGATGCCTGGCTGACACAGTCGTTAGAGCCTGTGACTCTTGATCTCAGGGTTGTGAATTCGAGCCCCATGTTGGGTGTAGAGATTACTTAAAAATAAAATCGTAAAAAAATTCCACAATCTATTTTGAGTTAATTTTTAAAAAAGATTTTGTTTATTTTTTTTTTTTTTTAAGATTTATTTATTTATTTATTTGTCAGAGAGAGAGAGAGGGAGAGAGAGCAAGCACAGGCAGACAGAATGGCAGGCAGAGGCAGAGGGAGAAGCAGGCTCCCTGATGAGCAAGGAGCCCGATGTGGGACTCGATCCCAGGATGCTGGGATCATGACCTGAGCCGAAGGCAGCCGCTTAACCAACTGAGCCACCCAGGCGTCCCAAAGATTTTGTTTATTTTTAGAGAGAAAGAGAGATCACATGCAAGGGTAGGGAGAGAGGGAGAGAGTCTTCTTTTTTTTTAAGATTTTATTTATTTATTTGACAGAGAGAGATCACAAGTAGGCAGAGAGGAGGCAGAGAGAGGGGGGAAGCAGGCTCCCCGCTGAGCAGAGAGCCCGATGCGGGGCTCGATCCCAGGACCCTGAGATCATGACCTGAGCTGAAGGCAGAGGCTTGAACCCACTGAGCCACCCAGGCGCCCCCCGGAGAGAGAGAGTCTTAAGCAGACTCTGTGCTGAGTGCGGTGCCTGACGTGGGGCTTGATTTCATGACCCGGAGATCATGACCAAGAGTCTGCGGCTCATCCGACTGTACCACCCAGGTGCCCCCATTTTGAGTTAACTTTTTAATAGGCTGTGACACTTAGATTGAGGTTTATTATCTTGTCTATGAATAATCTAATTGCTCTGGCACCATTTTTGGAAAAATTACTCTTTCTCCACCGAATGGCTTTTGCAGCCTTGTCAAAAACCACTTGGGTATAGATGTGTGGGTTTATTTCTGGGTGCTGTTTCTCTTCCTTTGACCTATTTGTGTGTCTCTTCCTCAACCAATACCACAGAGTATTGATTACTGTAGCAAGATAGTAAGTCTTGGGCTCCAGCAGGCTATTTCTTCCCACTTTATTCTTCTTCCTCAAAACTGTTTTTTTTAACTATTCTGGTTCCTTTCCTTTTCCATATAAATTTTAGAATGAGCTTGTCTATGTCTATAAAAGATCTTCTTGGAATCTTTTTTTTTTTTAAAGATTTTATTTGTTTGACAGACACACAGCAAGAGAGGGAACACAAGCAGGGGGAGTGGGAGGGGGAGAAGCAGGCTTCCTGCTGAGCAGGGAGCCCGATGTGGGGGTCGATCCCAGGACCCTGAGATCATGACCTGAGCCGAAGGCAGATTGCTTAATGGGTGAGCCACCCAGGCGCCCCTCTTGTTGGAATCTTGATAGGAATTATGTTAAACCTGTTTATCAGTTTGAGGATGTATTCTACATAGGCCTGCTAGGTCTCAATTATGTTGGGTCTTCCAGTCTACAAATACAGTACATCTCTCCATTTACTTAGATCTTGATTTCTTTCATTCTTTTTTTTTTTAATCTTGATTTCTTTCATTAGTGTTTTATATATTTAAAAAATACTTTTAAAATTTATTTTTTATTTTTTTATTTTTTATTTGACAGAGGGAGAGAGATCACAAGTAGCAGAGAGGCAGGCAGAGAGAGAAAGGAGGAAGCAGGCTCCCTGCTGAGCAGAGAGCCCGATGTGGGGCTTGATCCCAGGACCCTGAGATAAAGACTTGAGCCGAAGGCAGACGGTTAACCCACTGAGCCACCCAGGTGCCCCATGTTTTATACTTTTTATCAGAAAAGGCTTGTACAGGGACGCTTGGGTGGTACAGTTCTCCAGAGAAATCATCTGGGCCTGGAGTTTGCGTTTTGGGGAAGTTTGAAACTATGAATTAATTTTTTTAATAGTTATTAAACTCCTTGATATTTTTCATATTGGACAAGTTTAGTTATAGGTAGTATTTTGATGATGTTTTTTCTACTTCGTGTAACATTTTTGAGGTTTATCCAGGTTGTGGCGTGTATTGGTGATTCCTCTTTATTACTGAGTAGTATTTTATTGTATGGATATACTTCTTACATATTCATGGACATCTGGATTGTTTCTGCTGATTATTCTCAAACAAGTCTTTGTGTGGACGTATGTTTGCATTTCTCTCGAGTAGATGCCTGTGAGTTGAACTGCCCGGTCACATGGTAGGTTTAGATTTAACTTGAAGACCTGCCAGACTTAACAAGTGGGGACGCCGTCTTCCTTTCCCTTGAGCGTGTGTCAGAGTTCCAGCACCTTCACTTCCTTGCCAACACCTGTCTGTTTTGTTAGAGTCATTCTAGTAAGCAGGTAGTGGCATCTCCTTGGGGTTTTAATTTGCATTTCTTTGAGGACTATTATATATATAGATATAGATTATATACATATATATGTGTATATAATACATGTTTATAAGCTGTCCTTGTATTTTCTTAGTTGAAATGCATATTCAGTTATTACACCCAACTTAAAATTGGGTTGTTTTCTTATTACTGAGTTGTAAGAACTCTTTATATAGTCTGGATACAAGTCTTTTTTCAAATATATGATTTACAAATATTTTCTCCTGGTCTGTGACTTTGTGGCTTGTCTCTTCAATTTCTTAATGGTGTCTTTCTTAAAATCAAGGGGTGCCTGGCCAGCTCAGTCAGTAGAGCATGCAACTCTTGATCTTGGGATCGTGAGTACAAGCCACACATTAGGTGTGGATCCTACTTTAAAAAAAAAAAATAAAAATTAAAAAAAAAAAATATATATAGGAGCACCTGGGTGGCTCAGCAGGTTAAAGCCTCTGCCATCGGCTCAGGTCATGATCTCAGGGTCCTGGGATCAAGCCCCACATCGGGCTCTCTGCTCAGCGGGGAGCCTGCTTCCTCCTTTCTCTCTTTGCCTGCCTCTCTGTCTACTTGTGATCTCTGTCTGTCAAATAAATAAATAAAATCTTTAAAAAAAAATACAAAAGATGGGGTACCTGGGTGGCTCAGTGGGTTAAAGCCTCTGCCTTTGGCTCAGGTCATGATCCCAGGGTCCTGGGATCAAGCCCCGCATTCGGCTGTCTGCTCAGCAGGGAGCCTGCTTCGTCTCTCTCTCTCTCTGCCTACTTGTGATCTCTATCAAATAAATATATAAAATCTTAAAAATACAAAAGAAAAGTCAAAGTTAAAATTAGCTTTATCAAGAGAAAATTGACATGCAGTGCTCAGCATATATTTGAAGTATTTGGTTTGATATGTTTTCGTATATGTATACATTCGTGAAATTATCACCATAATCAAAATTATGAATGTATAAATCTGTCACCCCCAGAAGTTTCATATTTCTTTATAATTTATCCTACCCCCCTTCTCTCTGCTTGTCCCCACCCCCAGGCAACCACTGATTTTAGATCAGTTTACATTTTCTGGAATTTTATATAAATGGAATCAAACAGTACGTAGTAGGATTACTTTTGGTCTGGTTTCTTTACTTAGCATAATTATTTTGAGATTTGTCTATTTTGTTACAGTAATTCATTCCTTTTATTGGTGAATAGTATTCCATCTTATAGAAAGAATAGCACATTGCTGCATATTACCCTGTTACTCTCCAAAAATACTGTTTTATTTTGAACTCTCATCAGTGGTATATGAGAAGGCTATTTTTTTTTTTTGAAACCACACAGGACGTTCTCTTTCCTTATTTTATCTTTTGCCAATATCATGTACCATAAAAGCTATCTCAATTCGCTTTTAGTGTATTCTCTGGCCCTTTGTATTTTTCCCTTGGGGCATTGCCCATTTTCCTCTTCTGGTTTTGTTTTTTTGTTGTTTTTTTTTACTGATTTGTGGACACTCTTTATATGAGAAGGCTAACCTTTTGTGTCATATGTTGATATTTTCCCAGTTTGTAATTTGGCTTTCACTTTTGTTTACAGTCATTTTTTTGCCATACAGAAATTTTAATAGATTTGCTTTACTTTTTTTTTTTTTAAGATTTTATTTATTTATTTGACAGACAGAGATCACAAGTAGGCAGAGAGGCAGGCGGGGGCGGGAGGTGTGGGGAAGCAGGCTTCCCACTGAGCAGAGAGCCTGACATGGGGCTCAATCCCAGGACCCTGGGATCATGACCTGGGCCGAAAGCAGAGGCTTTAACACTGAGCCACCCAGGCGCCCCCTACTTTTTTTTTTTTTTAATAAAGTGGGATTTATCAGTGTTTTATTTGTTGCCGGAAGTATTCTTTTCTTTAAGAGAAACATGCTTTATTCCATGATTATAAGAATATCCACCTACATCTTTTATTTTTTTTTAAAGGGTCTTTTTTTTTTTTTTTTTTTTAGATTTTATTTATTTATTTGACAGAGATCACAAGTAGGCAGAGAGGCAGGCAGAGAGAGAGGGGGAAGCAGGCTCCCTGCTGAGCAGAGAGCCCGACGTGGGGCTCGATCCCAGGACCCTGAGATCATGACCTGAGCCGAAAGCAGAGGCTTTAACCCACTGAGCCACCCAGGCGCCCCCCACCTACATCTTTTAATAGTATTAGTACTTGTGAGAATGTAAGCTCCACAAAAGAAGGGATCTTTGACTGACACATAGCAGGAGCTTAGCATACTTAGTGAATGAATTGAAAACTTACAGAAATCATCAGTTTAATCAGTATGTGTTAATCGTCTACTTCGTACATACTAATAGTTTGTTAGTAATTTTATCACAGAATATGTGACATGTTTGCTTTCCTTGAATGTTTGCAGAAAATAGTTGTGGAATAATGCACTGATGTAGAAATCATCTCACATAAGGAAAAGTAGAAAATTAGTTTTCAGGTGGTTTGCTTATGGCTTTGGAGGAGGGAGCTCCTCAGCAAATTTTTAGCAGTGAATAAAATTTAAGTGAAATCTTTATCAAGACCCAACCTAGTTATTTGGATAGCTACTTTACCTTTTCTCATGTTTTCTGTTTTTCAACAGTTTACTTTATCAAAATGCATAGATGCTGTGATGGTGCTGGGAAATTCTCATTTATTCATGAATCGTTCCAACAAACTTGCTGTGATAGCGAGTCACATTCAAGAAAGGTACGACCATAGTGATTCCTCTATTTGGTGTTTAACATTGGTGAGGTTTTTGTGCCAGTCAGCATGTACTACTCTTCCTTTTCTGTGTTGCAGAATTTTTTTTAATGTAGCGTTGAACAAGACTCGCAGCATGAGGAGTCAGTACATGTAGATTTTGACAGAGATGAAAATTGGAAGACTCATTAGCTGGTACCTAATAGACTTGCATCATGTGCGCATTTATTTTTTTTTTTATTTTTATTTTTTTTAAAGATTTTGTTTATTTATTTGACAGATAGAGATCACAAGTAGGCAGAGAGGCAGGCAGAGAGAGAGAGGAGGAGGTTCCCTGTTGAGCAGAGAGCCCGATGTGGGGCTCGATCCCAGGACACTGGGACCATGACCTGAGCCGAAGGCAGAGGCTTTAACCCACTGAGCCACCCAGGCGCCCCTCATGTGCGCATTTAACTTACCCGGGTTCACCCATCCTTTCTAGGCAAACACCAGGGAGAATTATCCAGCAAGGGTGGTAACTTCTGTTACTGTTCTTTGCTCGAGTCTGCCCCGGGTGGGGGCAGATGAAACGGGAGGTGTGATTCTGCTTTCTTTTCTCGAGTTGTGGGCTCTGCCTGCTTCTCTGGTTGTAATGTTTCACTGCTCTCGGTGTGATTCTGGTGTTTACAGATAAGGGTTTTTCTTGTTAATTGGGTTTAAACCCAAGCGAACTACTCCATCTGGTGCTCAGCCGAGGAAGCCCTGACCTTTTCTAAGACGGGTATAAACACTGGCTGGGGCATGGGGTAGAGTCTCTTAGGGGCGGGTGCGTAGGAGTGCAGCTCAAAAGGGACCAGGTATAGGCTACATATTTTCACCGCATTTACTTTTCATGCATACGCTGACTATAGAATCATACTTCCCGTGTAAGACACGGCTCTTCTGTGTCTTGATTAAATGTTACATCCTGGTAGAAGTGACTCTTGTGTACCCGCGTATTTCATATAAGGTCAGTGGATAGTTCTCAAATTTCTTATTTCTTAGGGCTGTTCTCTTTGGTGTGTTGAAGGAGCCTGTGGGCCTCCCAGTAAGTGCTCCCGCTCCCATGATCACCATGCATTTTTCTCAGAGTTGAATGAAAAACGATGACTCTGATTTGATTAAGATATCAAAAGAAAAACTATGAGAAGCAAAGTTCTCCAGTGTTTAGAAGAATCAAATACGGGTTTTTACAGGATTACTATAAAAATCGTGAAGCACTAGGAGAATCTTTTAGGGACCCTTGGGGCAGATTTTTATTACTGGTAGATAAATGTACCTCAAATAATAAACTAGTTGCAAGTGAGAATTTGGTTATGACTCTCTTCCCAGTTGGCGTCTGAGAAAGTAGAATGAGAACCACCCCGAAGCATTTCAAGAGGCTGGGACCCAGCACACATGCGTTATTTCCTCTCATTTGTGAGAAAATAGGGGGATCATTAAAACATTCTCTTGGGGTAGACCTCGTGTTTGCCAGTTTGCCCATCTTATACATTTCTTAAAAATGAAACTTATTACAGAATCTTGTGTCAGAATTGCTGTGGTTGTTTGTTTACTGAATTTCATCTGGATGTCGAGTGAGGACAGTGTCCTAGTATAACTTGGTGTTTTTTTCCCCACTGTTTCAGTCGATTCTTGTATCCTGGAAAGAATGGCAGACTTGGAGACTTTTTTGGAGACCCCGGCAACCCTTCTTCTGAGTTCAGCCCGACAGGGAGCAAGGACGGGAAGTATGAGTTGTTCACAGCAGCGAATGAAGTTATTGCTGAAGAGATTAAGGATCTCATGACCAAGAGTAATGGTTCTCCGTTCTTGTTATCTTACAATTGCAGTTGAACCTGGAGGTCCTGAGGCTTTAAGTCCTGAGAGTTGGGTTTCTTGGGAGTATTTACTTGTGTTCTCTATTTTCTTTTGTAAAATCCTTTTCCTCAAAGCCTGTGCCTTGTTTGTGTGACCTCCTGACCTCGCCAGCGTCTCACACTGTCCACCAGCCTCTACTTCTTGAAACCTACTCTTAGCCTCTAAGGCTATTCTTTTGACTTGTTTTTCCTCTCTTTTTGGACCATTCTTCCATTTTTTATTTTTTCCTTCATCTTGTCCCTTAAAAAATAGGTTTGTTAATTCTGCACATTATTTTCTTATTTTCTCTTTCTCTGTATGTTTCCAACCACTCTTGTCTTTAGTTATCAATTCTCTGTGAACACTTCCCAGTCTTTATGATCTCTAATCCAGCCTTTCTTTCAGCAAACATCTCCATGTAGGTGTTGCACAGTGTGGTTGACTCGCCCCAGACCAGTTTCCTTACCTTTCCCTCCCACCTGCACCACTGTCTACGCTCCCAGTTTCTGCCACGCCCTTCCACATACTTTTTCAAATTCAACGCTTTCATTTTTGAGCCCCCTCTCTGCTCACATTCAACATCTAATCAGCTGTGATACCCTTTTAGCTAGTACCTTCAAAATCTGCCCCCTTTTATCGCATCTAGCTCAGGCCCAGCCCTGTTGGAATTTTGGGCTGGAACATTCTTTGTTGTGGCCTCTGTGTGGTGCTTTGGAGGACACTTAGCAGCATCCCTGGCCTAGACCCGGTAGATGTCATAACATCCCTCCATTGTGGCCCCCAAATATATCTCAGACTTCGGCACATATCTCCTGTAGGGCACAGGTGCCCAGGTGGAGAGCTGTCACTCTGGGTCATTCTAACAGCTTCCGCCTGCTGGCTCCTGTCTCTGTCCCTTCAGGTCTTTTACAGTTAATCCTCCTAAAAGCCAGAGCGGCTGTTTCATGGCTTAAAGGCTGTTACGGGTCCCCTGTTGTCTGCAGCCTGTGGTTCTTAACTTGTAGCTGGTGTCAGAGTTACCTGGAAGGGAAAGGCCACTCTTTACAGACAGAAAGTAGGTTAGTGGTTTCCGAGGGTGGGGGAGGAGTGACTGGAATGGGCCCAAGTGATCTTTTGGGGTAAAGGAAATGCTCTAAAACTGGGTTGTGGTAATCGTTTACAGCTCTCTAAATTTGCTTAAAAAAAACATTGAAGTGTTTACTTAAAAGGAGTGAATTTTATGATCTGTCAATTACACCCCAGTAAAGCTGGTAAGAATCCCCTGGAGGGCTTGTTAAAACAAAATGCTGGGTCCTACCCTGCAGTTTCTGATGCAGCAGGTCTAGAGTGGTCCCAAGAATCTGGGTTTCTGGTAAGTTTCCAGGTGATGCTCTTATACCTGGTTCTAGAATCATACTTTGAGAACCATGGGTCTCCAGGGTAAAGTCCCAACTTCTCAGTGTGGTGCTCAAGACCTTTCCGGGTCTGACCTTACCCATGGGTGGAGGTGTCCGTGCTCCTGGACCCGCTGCAGGCCCTTCACGCCAGATGTCAGTCTGAGCTCTCCACCCTCTTGAGAGGCTTGACTTTTTTCACTCAAGGCTTCAAACAAGTTTCCAGCTTTGTCTCTGCTTGCCACAGCCAAGGGGGAACATCCTGCCCCCTTTCTACTAGCGGAGCAGCTCTCTGAGGGGCATGAGACAGAGGGGTGGTGGGAAGGAGGGCAGATAGGCTCAGAGCAGGCAGTTGCACATGACCTTTTGCTCCACTTAGATCGTTAACAAACCTGAACCTTTCCAGAAAACACCAGGATATTTTTTCTTGTGGTAGAATATACATACTATAGGGGGCACCTGGCTGGCTCAGTCAGTGGAGCATATGACTCTTGATCTCGGGGTTGTGAGTTCGAGCCTCACATTGGGTATAGCGGCTACTTAAAAATAAAATCTTGGGGCGCCTGGGTGGCTCAGTGGGTTAAAGCCTCTGCCTTCGGCTCAGGTCATGATCCCAGGGTCCTGGGATCGAGCCCCACATCGGGCTCTCTGCTCAGCAGGGAGCCTGCTTCTTCCTCTCTCTGCCCGCCTCTCTGCCTACTTGTGATCTCTCTCTGTGTGTCAAATAGATAAATAAAATCTTTAAAAAAAAAAATAAAATCTTTTTTGAAAAGAGAATATACATAACATAAAATTTACCGTTCAGCCATTTTTTAATTTTAATTTTTTTTTTTTAGATTTTTTAAATTTATTTTTATTTATTTGTCAGAGAGAGAGAGAGAGAGAGAGAGCAAGCAAGGCAGACAGAGTTGCAGGCAGAGGGAGAAGCAGGCTCCCCGCTGAGCATGGAGCCCGATGCGGGACTCGATCCTGGGACACCGGGATCATGACCTGAGCCGAAGGCAGCCGCTTAACCAAGTGAGCCACCCAGGCGTCCCAACCATTCAGCCATTTTAAAATGTGCAGTGCAGTGGCAATAAGTACATTCACACTGGGTATAAACATCACAGCTGTCCATTTCCAGATTACCCCAAACTGAAACTTTGTACTCTCTCAGTCCCTGACCACAGGATATTTTAAATTGAGACAATGTTAAAAATTGCTTATTTAAGCATTACTGAGAACAGATTGCTCTCTATGTTTTAAAGTATCAGCTGATTTCATTCTGGAAGAAGAATGCTTTGGTTTGAAAATGGTTTTAGTTCAAGAAAACCTAAACATTCTCTTTAATTTTCTTTTTTTTAATTATTTGCAGGTGACATAAAGGGTCAACATACAGAAACTCTGCTGGCAGGATCCCTCGCCAAAGCTCTTTGCTGTATCCTTGGTGTTCTAGTCATTCAGAGGGTGTCTTCTGAATATCTTAACTTGTGATAATGTTTAGAACCTTGGGTATCCATATTAAGGAAAGGCATGAGTATTCTAAAGTGGTGGGTAATCAAAAAAACAATTTAATTTGGCTTTGGAATATTTTTAAGATAATCTGTAAAAACTTGAAATGTAAAAGAAAGAAAACTGTTTTCTCTAGTATGTCCTTCTGCTCACAAAACATTCTTCAGGATGCTTGTAACTTGCTTTGACAAATTGGGGAGGGTGTGTGTGTCTTTTCTACCTTCCTTAAGTTAGGAGCATGTGTTTGGTATTTACAAAAGTCGTTCGCTGCTCCTGAGGGTTAATAAATGAGTGGTTTCTCCTGAGGCCCACAGGTTATTTGCACTTAACATAGAGTAAACAACACTGTCCCAAGCATGTTGATGTCTGTTGGTGTGATGTTCTCCCAGTCTTTAAATTAAAAAAAAAAAAAAAAAAAAGAAAAAAAAAGATTTATTTACTTGGAAGAGAGCAGAGAAAGAGAGAGACAGACAGGGAGAAGCAGGCTCCCTGCTGAGCAAAGAGCCCGATGTTTGTTATCTGGCTTGTGTACTTACGAGTCATCACAGTATTCGAGGATGTAGTGGATGATCGCAGGGTAAATCATGGTGATTTTAATGTTCTGGGACAGAGATCAGGTTTTGGTTACAAAGCTCAGTTGATTGCAGTTGGTAAGTGGAAACCCCCAAGTAGTCTTGTGTGTTTATCATGGGAAATAGAGCCTTTCTTTTTTCAGCTAGGTGGATGGATTAATTTAAAATTTGAGGTTATTTTTCTGTTTACTATAAGTATTTATGAAATTAAATATTTCAAAATTCCTTAATGCTAAAAAATTCAGACATTCATAGAATGAACAAGGAGGTGAAAGGTAGGAGTGTGGTTTTTTGTGAGATCTGGAATCCTTATTTTACTGTTATAATTTTGGTGGACTCTTTAAAAATGTTGGTTATAAAACCTTATGTTTACTAAGATCCAGTTAAATTTTAATCTGTCTTTATCTCTTTATAGATAATCAGGAAATGAAATCAAGGATTTTGGTAAGATTAAAAAAATCAGTACTATGTTTATAGACCACCTATATCGAATTAGAAAGCATAATGCCATAAAAGTGCTAGACCCATTTATAATAAATATGAGTATCCAGAATAAATTAACAAGCAATGTATAAATACAATAGATTATGATGAAAGACTAAAATTCTGAGAGACATAAAAGAATTGAAGGAATGGAAAGGCCTGTTTTATTCTTGGATATCAGTTTTTCCAAAGTTAAACTATAAATTCAATCTCGGAATTTTTTTTTTTTTTTTAAGATTTTATTTAGAGAGTGCATGTCACGGGTCAGGGGGTGCAGAGGAAGAGGGAATCTGAAGCCAACTCCTCACCAAGTGCTTTAAGAAATTTAACAGTAAGGGGCACCTGGCTGGCTCAGTCGGTAGAGTGTGTGATTCTTGATCTCGGGGTAATAAGTTTGAGCCTCATGTTGGGTGTGGAGATTACTTAAAATCTTTAAAAAAAAATCGGTTTATCTGGAAGAATAAATCAAGGAGAATAGCCAGGTGCTTTCTGAAAGAGAATAATAAGCAGGAACTTGCTGTTAGATCTTAAAACACATTGCAAAGTTGTAGGAACAGTGTGGTTCTGGCGCAGTAGGAGGCCCAGAGTAAATGGGAAAGGCTAGGCTCCAGAAATAAAATCAGGTCCACAGAGGAGTTTGGCTTGTCGAAAGGAAGCACTTAAGTTAGTGGGAAGAAAATGGATTATTCAGTTAAAGGGGCTGGGCCAATTGGTTGACCTTTTGGGGGAAGACAAAGTTAGATCTCATTGCTCACACCTAAATAATTCTAGTAAAGGTCAGACATGTCACTGTGAAAGTTCCAGTCATAAAAGTGCTGGAAGAAAGTACCTGTTTAAAAGCTCAGGTTGGGAAGGACCTTGCTGAGCGTGATGTGAAGCTTAAGACCTCAAGAAAATCAAACCCCAAAACAAGGATGAAAGAAAAGCTATTAGGAAAAGTATTTTCAGCATAGCTACCTGACAGAGGATTAATATAATAGTTCTAAAATGTTTTTTATCTTATTCATTTATTTTTTTTAAGTGGGCTTCACACTCGGCCTGGAGCCCAACTTGGGGCTTTAACTCACGACCCTGAAATCAAGACCTGAGCTGAGACCAAGAGTCTGACACTTGACTGAGCCATCCAGGCACCCCGACCTTATCAATTAAATTTTAAAAGTTAAGGTTTACTCTAAAATATGTAGAAAACAAGCAGCCTGCAAAAGAAGAAATGCAAGTGGCCAGTTAGCATTTGAAAATACGTGGAGCCTTACCAGTGAGCAAAGAACTAGGAGCATCCGGTAACAAGGTTTGCATTGTCTGCTTCTTGCTCAGCCCAAATGGGCACTTCTCCGCGTTGGTGGCAGGCTTGGGGGTGGGTTTTTCACTTGCATTGCCAGTGGGAGGGTAAATCGGTACAACATTTTTTTGAGGCGTGTTTGGTAGCCTGTAGCAGGATGAAAGGTGTGTGTATTTTAGCAATCCCCCTGATTATTTTAGGAGCTATTCAGAGAGTTGTGTACAGCATATATGAGAGCGTTCCCCAGAGCATTGTCTAAAACAGGACTGGAAGCTTCTTCAGTGTCCTCTATAGAGAACTGGTTTAGCAGTGGAGTCTATGAAGTTAGCACAAAGGATGACGTACATCCAAGTTCACTGATACAAGATTGACCCCCCGCCCTGCGCCCCTGTGGGACCAAGAAGCAGATTGCAGGGCTGTCTGGCTGGCTCAGTGGGTAAAGCATATGACTCTTGATCTCAGGGTTGTGAGTTCGAGCCCCATGTTGGGTGCAGAGTTTATTTAAAAAAAAAAAAATTAAAAAAAGTTTGCACAGCACTAGATAATTATCCTAGGGCACGTGTGCGTGCTGCCTCTGTGTGTGTGTGTGTGGGCACACATGTGACCATGTAGGTGCTGTGTGGAACTGTTAACCAGGGACTGTCTATCTCTTGGAGGGTAGGTCATTTTACACTGCACCTATGCACCTATTTATTTAACCATAGTAACTAGGCAGGCAGATTAGACAAGCTGCATTGGTTGTGTTTGCAGTGAGAACTCGGATATGCCCACGAGGTATTCACAGGGATGTGATTTTTAGGTGATTAAGGCTGCAGAAGACAGCGCGCTGCAGTATATGAACTTCATGAATGTCATCTTCGCAGCACAGAAGCAGGTGAATTGGGAGCATCTTTTTTTAATTAATTAATTAATTATTTATTTATTTTTTAGTTTTGATTTAAATTCCAGCATATTTAACACACAGTGTTCTGTTAGTGTCTTGTGTGCCATATCGTGATTTAGCACTCCAGTTGTCACCCAATGCTCCTTGTGACAGGTGCAATCCTTAATCCCCATCACCTGTGTCCTCCACCGCCCCCTCCTCTGGTGACCATCAGTGTGTTCTCTGTAGTTAAGAGTCTGTTTCTTGGGTCGCCTCTCTCTTCTTCCCCCTGTCCCTTGGGAGCATTCTTTTTAGGAAATATTTATTTCATAATGAGTTTTATTTTTTGAATGACCTACACAAATATTTTGACTAAATGGCCTTATCAGTGGATAAAGAATATGGAATTCATATATCGTACTAGTCATTGCTCTATTTTGGGTGCTGGACCCCATGAATCTTATGGGTCCCCAGAAAAAAGTACCCTGAAACACAGTTTTGCATATAGTTTCATGGTATTCATGTAACCCTGTTTAGCCCATCCTTGGACCTCAGGCTAAGAATCCCAGATTTACAGTTCGCTGCGTACCTTCCCTCCATTCCTTTCTTTGCTTTGGGGAGGTCTTACCAAGATTTGATAGTTTTACTTTGCAAATAATTGAATGAATCTACACTAATTCAAATGAATTATCACTAATGTATTTTCTTTGGTATGTTTTTAAGAAAAAACTTTCTTAAAACTTCAGTTTTAACCCAAAATGCTGCCATATCCCCATATCCATGCCTGATATTCTCCATGTTGTAGCAGCAGCGTGATGTGAAAAGACCGTGGGCTTTGGGGACAGGCAGATTGGGGTGACAGCTCTGCTCCCCCCGTCCCCCAAGCTCTGTGACCACAGCCTGGCCAAGGCCTAGGTGTTTCAGCTGCAAAATACGATCAAATACCTGCCTTGCAGAGTTATTCCACTGTTTTAAGAATAGTCTAAAAAAGTCTAGCACTTAGTAGGTTCCCAGTGTAATTTTTATTTTTATTATTCTATATTTTTATTATTCTATTATGTTTTTGGAATGTTCATTTCAGAATATTTTGATCGATGCCTGTGTTTTAGACTCGGATTCAGGACTCCTCCAACAGGTACGTGTTCCGTGGAAGTGTGGTGTTGGTGGTCAGGGGAGCCTGGTGTGTTCTCTTCGTTGTTAAGTGCCTGTCACCAGCCTTCGCACAGTTTTAGGAATTAGGCTGTGAGATGCTGTCGCTTAGAGCACTAACATCTCTCTGGTCCTTATTTTATTTTTTCATTGAAGTACATTCGACACACAGTGTCACATTAGTTTCAGGTGTACAACTCTCGGGATCCTTCAACATTTTTATTTACATTTTATGTAATGATTGATTCTGTAAAAGTGAGTCACATATTGAAATGAATTCAGGCAATATAGGAAAGTATTTTTTTAAAGGGGTAAAAAAAAAAACAACCTTCAAATCCTATCCTCCTACAGTTACTGTTGCTAATATTAGGTGAACAGCATGACACATCTCTCTGTGTAGGTATAGATGGAAGCATGGATCGCTAAGCAGAGAATCTTTTTTTTTTTTAAAGATTTTATTTATTCATTTGACAGTGATCACAAGTAGACAGAGAGGCAGGCAGAGAGAGAGGAGGGGAAGCAGACTCCCCGCTGAGCAGAGAGCCTGATGCGGGGCTCAATCCCAAAACCCTGGGACCATGCCCTGAGCCAAAGGCAGAGGCTTTAATCCACTGAGTCACCCAGGCGCCCCATAAGCAGAGAATCTTATAAAGATGGGGTTGTACTGCAGATCTGTGCTGTCCTGTGTGATAGTTATATGGTTGTTGAGCTCTTGCAAGGAGTCTGGTCTGGATTGAGCTGTGCTGTTAAGTGTAAAATACACACTGAATTTCAAGGACTTAGTATGAAGAACAGAATGTAAAATAAAGATTTTATAGGATTACCTGTTAAGATGATAATACTTTGAATATACGGAGTTAAATAAAATGTTATTAAAATTAATTTTATCTGTTTTTTTTCCCTTTTTTTATGCGGCTAGAAAATTTTAAGTTTCACATATTGCCCACATTATATTTCTGTCGGACAGCATTGTTAGATGTTGCTTTTCAGTCAAATATATGAGACGGAAATTTAATTTAACTAAAAAGGGGAAAAAAATACCCAAATAAGACTGAAGAAATTGCCGAACTTTTGATAAATGTTTTTTCGACCACAAGAAATATTCTTTGCTAAAAGATCAGTTAAAAGCACAAAACTGGAAAATGCTGAGTTTAGGGTCCTGCCGAGGACACAGAGTGGGAAGGGGAGATATGATTAGAAAGTATACTAGCATCAGAGGTTCCAAATTGTCCTATTTCTTAAGCTTGATGGTAGATACATGGTGTTCGTTTTATTTAAATCTACATAAACCATACTTACATGTTATGTGTATATGCTCTTGCACATATGGTTTTATTTCAGAATTAAAAAATCGAAAAGGTTGAATCCATTTTTTAACTGCACATTTTACTCTATACAGCGTCTGTTAACTCCTAGAAGATCTTTCCTATGCCCTGAGTTTAAATGCCAGCTTTGCCTGCCTGACGCTCACGTCGCTATGTCTGGGCCAGACGCAGGCTCTCTGCGTTCCAGACTTGCACAGCCAGCTGCTCAGGCAGCATCTCCCCTTGGACATCCAGCAGCGTCTCAACTTGAACTTGTCGGAAACAGAACTCCTGGTTTTCGCCACGCTGCCCTCCGGGGGCCTCCCCATCTCAGCAGTGGCAGCTCAGTTCACCAGCCCCCAAGCCAAAATCCTGACGCTGCCTTGTTTCTTCTCTTCCTCTCCTTTCCATCCCATTAGCAAATCCTTTTGATTCAGTCTTTGAAATCGCGCCTGAATCCCACCATATGTCTTCTCCTTCCTTGCTACCACTCAAGTGGTGGATTGTCGGATCTGTTAACTGGTCTGTTTCTACGCTTACCCCTCACACCAAAGTCCGTTCTCAACAAGGCCGGCAGAACGAAGTTTTCAAAATGGAAATCAGATCTTGTCACTCACCTGCTTAAAACCCTCCCATGGCATCCCCTCACACACAGACTGAACCCCAGAGTTCTGCCATGGCTGTCTGTACTCCCGCCATGATACGGTTTCTGGGTATCTCCTTTTCCCATGGAATCTCTTTACTCCGGCCATACGGGCTCTTCGCTATTGCTTTAAAACTACAGGCCCGCTGCCGCTGAGGATGTGTGCACCAAGCTGTTCCCTCTGCTTCTAAGGCTTCTCCGTAGGTATGTGTATGGTCTACTCCCTGCCCTTGTTTGGGCCTCTGCTTCTGCTTTTCTCAGAGAAGCCTTCCCTGAGCATCTAGGGTCACTCCATGTCCCCTTACCCAACTTCATTTTTCTTTATGGACATGATCATAGCCTGTGACAGTATTTCTGCATTTACTCGACTGATTGACTCTCCGTCTTCCCTCCATTTGCACCCAAGTGTCAATCAGTCGATGAAAGGAGTTAAATTGGGGTATAACCATAAGATAGAATATTGTTTGGCCATAAAAAGGGATGAAGTACTGATCTTGCCACAGTGTGGATAAATCTTGAAAACATGATGCTGAGGGAAAATTGTATGAGTCCATTTGTATGAAATACCCAGAATAGGCAAATCCAGAGAGAGAAAGTAGGTCGCTGATAGCCTCGGGGTAGGAGGTTGAGAGTAACGGCTAATAGGTGTGGGGTTTCCTTTTGGGGTGAGGAAATGTTCTGGAACAAGATTGTGGTGGCACAGCTCTGAAGACAGTGAAAAATAGTGAAGCACACATTTTAAAGGGTGAATTTTATGGCTTCAGGGTGATCTCAGAACTGTTGTTAAAAATAGAATGAAAATGAGTAAACGTGGCTAGAATAAAAATTTCATCAGTAGAAAACACAGGACCAAGGGCATGTACTGTCCTCCACTAAGCTCTTCAAAGGGGGAAAGAGTGTGATGCCTCCGGGAAAAGTAGCTGAACACCTTGAGAGGTGGCGGGAAGTTTCTGGTCCTCACATACCTTTGGGAAAGCATGCCCTTTTGATGGGCTCTGTCATATCCCCCTCTCCTCCGGAGACCCGAAGAATGGCTGGTGAGATTGACATCCGTCTGGAAAAGCTAAGCGAGTGCCAGTTTGGCAGAGAGCCCTTTGGATGTCTTACAGGCTTGTGACATCACGGGGGGACTGTACCTGAAGGTGCCTCAGATGCCTTCCCTTCTGCAGTATCTGCTGGTAAGGGACTGTCAGCAGGGCCCTAACACCTTGCGTCTGGGTGAGCCCCTGTCTTCTGGGGAATAAAGGGGAGCACGATGGTGATGCTAGTAAGTGGGAGAAAGAGTAGATGGGTGGCCCAGGGGCTTTGAAACTAGAAGGGGACAACTTGGGTCGTCTGAAGGCAGCTTATATAAGCAGACAACAGTGGCTGCTTTGGGGAGGTGCTCTGTATCTGCCGACTGAATAAAGAAGCATTTCTTGGTAGACTTTTTTTTTTTAATTTATTTTTTAAAAAGATTTTATTTATTTATTTGACAGAGATCACAAGCAGGCAGAGAGGCAGGCAGAGACGGGGGCGGGGGAAACAGGCTCCCTGCTGAACAGAGAGCCCTATGCGGGGCTCAATCCTAGGACCCTGAGATCATAACCTGAGCTGAAGGCAGAGGCTTAACCCACCGAGCCACCCAGGTGCCCCTCTTGGTAGACTTTTAAGGAAAATCCCAATTTATTATTCTCTTTGGTGTTCACTACCTAATATCTGATACTTGTGTTCTAACTTCCGGTTATATTCCCCCATGTTTTCAATAACATTTCTTTGCCTCTTCCCCCCCACCCCCCCACAGTGGGTTTTTCTCCCTGATCAAGATCAAAGATCTCAGTTAATCCTCCCTCCCCCAGTCCATGTGGACTACCGGGCAGCTTGCTTCTGTCATCGAAATCTCATTGAAATTGGCTATGTCTGTTCTGTGTGCTTGTCAAGTAAGTTCAAGTACTGTTTTTTTCTGTGTTTGCGGGGGGGTGAGGGGGCACAGAAAATAAGTCAGCTGTGCGTTTGTTTTTTTCCAACATCCTGTTTGTTTTGTGTTTCAAATTTACAGTATTCTGCAATTTCAGTCCTATCTGCACCACCTGCGAGTAAGTATCCCTGGGCTGGTGTGTCTGGCCCACGAGGGGTAGGGGGGAGGGATTCAGAGCCCTGAAGAGGGTCTTCCTCTCTGTCGTTACAGGACAGCCTTTAAGATTTCTCTGCCTCCTGTGCTGAAAGCCAAGAAAAAGAAACTGAAAGTGTCTGTGTGATCAGAAGATCCCCCATGCCCCCAGCTAATCTCTTAGAGCTTATTAAGAGAAATTGTATGGCAAAAGCTGTGTTAGGAAGCCCTGAAAAAAATACAGCGTTGTATGGGATAATTTTGAATGAAGTTTCTTACAGGAAAGATTTCTAGACCATTATCCTCATGCTGTGCTTTTGGGGGGCCTGCTTTATTTGAGGGAGTCATTCTGTGCAATCTTTTCTGATGGCTTTTTGTCCACAGAGGGAGAAGAAAGCATAAATTAGTGACTTTTTTTTTTTTTTTTTTTTAAATGGGGTGATCATTTGTCCGTCAGCCTGGCCTGATTCCAGGCTTTAGACTCTGTTACCTCGTCTGGGTTCTGCCTGTGAAATGCACAACCAGTGAAATTTGAGCAAAGTTTTAGCGATCATCCACTAATGGCATTAATCAAGATAGACCATCTTCCTTGAATCAACAGCTGACTTGGACGATAGTCATGTAAATAAAATCCTTCTTTTCTAAGTTAAGATTTAGCTCCAGAAACTGCAGATTTGCTTTTGCCTGACATCACTGTGTGTCTGGACATAGTCATCCATGTAATAACTGTCGCTGAATAAAAACAAAGTCTGATCTTAAGTGAATGTGGAGAAGGGGGTGTGGTACTCTGGCAGTGACCTTCCCTTCAGAGATAGTTGGGTGAAGAGCTTCTGCGTGAGAGCCGCTGTCTGGGTTCAGAGAGGGGCCTGCTGGAGAATGGATCCTTTATGGCTCAGTATTGTCCCCCAGGTGGAATGAGAAAAAAAAGAAGCATTAATGTTGGAGAACTGTTCTCTAAAATAAGTGCGATAGGTTCAAAAGAAAAATTATATGTAATTTCAACAAGAAAAAACTTATTTTTCTATGGAACTTTGAAGTTATTAGAAATCTTTTCAAATTCCAGCGCAGTGTAAGAAGGATTTTCAGGAATGGTGGCTGGTTTGGTTTGTTTTACGTATATTGACAAAAACAAACAATCATAAACTGACAAAAACCGATTTGTGTACACAACTTTGTATGTAAGTAAGATGTTAATTTTCCCTTTATGCCATCTCAGAAGCTGAGTCTCGTTTAAGTAATCTGGTATTTGGCTAGATGATTTCAGGTAGATTTTGTACTTTGGATTTATAGTTTTGTTAAATACACATAGGCTTTGGTGATCACTTGGCCAATATTTGTTAGTCCTTGAGTTTGAGAATCTTATTTGTCTTTTAGAAATAATATTTAATATTTCACAGCGTAACTATAATGGAAATCACTGTTTTAAGTCTAGGAAGTCATCAGATATCTAAAAGACAATTTCAAAGAAGCTGGTCAGGTTCTCATTACTACTTTTTTGTTTGAGATGTTTTGTGTACTGGCTTAATTCTGTTTCGGTTTTATTTTTAACTGTTGTGTTTATGGTTTACATAAATTTTTATAATAAAATAATTTAAATTTTTGCATTTGCTTAACTTCTTTTCTCTTACTGTTTATTTTATGCTAATTCAACTTACTTTCAGGTTTGTATTTTAACTAACTGGATTTGGTCAAATGTCAGTCAATTTTTTTTTTAAAGATTTTATTTATTTTTTGGGGCACCTATTCAGTGGGTTAAAGCCTCTGCTTTTGGCTCAGGTCATGATCCCAGGGTCCTGGGATCAAACCCCACATTGGGCTCCCTGCTTGGCAGGGAGCCTGCTTCCCTCCTCTCTCTCTCTGCCTGCCTCTCTGCCTACTTGTGAGCTCTCTCTGTCAAATAAATAAAATCTTAAAAAAAAAAGATTTTATTTATTTTTTGACAGACAGAGCTCACAAGTAGTCAGAGGCAGGCAGAGAGAGAAGCGGGGCGGGGGGAAGCAGGCTCCCTGCTAAGCAGGGAGCCCAATGTGGGTGGCTCGATCTTAGGACCCTGAGATCATGACCCGAGCCAAAGGCAGAGGCTTTAACCCTTTGAGCCACCCAGGCACCCCAAATGTCAGTCAATTTTTTATTCAACTCTGAGGAACTTTTATTCTTTTAAGTAAGCTCTATGCCCAGTGTGGGGCTTGACTCCTGCAAGATCAGGAGTCACATGCTCTACTCAATGAGCCAGCCAGCTGCCCCTGAAGAACTTTAATTTTGAATCTTGCTGAAACTATATATGAAAATATTGTTACAAACTGCATGATAATAGATGGGTATAAAGTATTTAAAGCAAAGTTTCTCACTGTGAAACTATAAGAAGAAAGATATGATGTTTGTGATTTTATAGTGGGAGCAAAGTTAGCAAAATTTTAAATATTTGGTATTTTTGTTGATAAAGCAAAGCTAGTATAATGTATGTTTTGATGTCATAAAAGTAGGAGTTAATTTTAAAACCACGAAATTATTATCTTATAAATACATAGTTGTAACTATCCAATTTGCTGTTGTTCTAAAGGCGGCCCCTTGGGCTACCTTTTGTAGGTCAGTTTACAAAAAGATTCCTGCTGCCTTGCTTTTTTATTTTTTATTTTTATTTTTTAAAAAGATTTTATTTACTTATTTGTCAGAGAGAAAGAGCATGAGCAGGGGGAGTGGTAGGTAGGCAGAAAGAGAAGCAGGCTCCCTGCTCAGCAAGGAGTCCACTGCGGGACTTAACCCTAACCCTGACTCAACTGACTGAGCCACCCAGGCGTCCCTCCCTTGCTTTTTTAAAAAGCAATTATTTTGTTTTTTAGATAATCCAAGCATGATTTGTAAGACTGTTAGGAATTCCTGAAAGAGTGCATGGAATGCTTCCAGCAGTAATGGAGAGGAGAGTAGATCTACCAGTGACATTTTTATTTGAGAAGTACAGTATTTAAAAATCAGGGCTTTTCATTAATAGTTGAATTGAGAGTTTATGCCTACATTTATATTAATAGAATTGGTTGCACGTCAGTTTAAGAAAATATTTCTAATTTTTAATAATGTCATTGTACCTCACAAATGACATTTTTTGCTTTTTTACTTCTGAAGCTTTTTTTTTTTTTTTTAAACTGTAATGCTCCAGAATTCCACCGTTCATTATACTACTGGCTAAATAGCTTAATGCAACCAAAAGAAAATAAAAGCATACTTTTAATAAGTACTATTATTTTTTTCTGATTAGAACAGAAAATGATTACATGCTTTTTAAGGAAGAAAAAGTACGTAAAACTAGGGGGAGAAAAGAGAAATATTGCTTTAATCATTCCTCCGTCCAGAACCCACCCAGAACTGGGAGGGTTAGAGAATCCCTGTGAATTACTATCTGGTGCATTTCTTTCTCTTTCTCTCTTTAGATTTATTTATTTTATTTTATTTTTTAAATACATATTTTTAAAAAAAGATTTTATTTACTTATTTGACAGAGAGAGATCACAAGTAGGCAGAACAGCAGGCTCCCCACTGAGCAGAGAGCCCGATGCGGGGCTCAATCCCAGGACCCTTAGATCATGACCTGAATTGAAGGCAGAGGCTTTACCCACTGAGGCAACCAGGCACCCCAGATTTATTTATTTTAGAGAGTGCAGGGGTGGGGGGAATGGGAGAGGGAGACAGAATCTCAAGCAGACTCCCTGCTGAGCAAGGAGACCAGCTAGGAGACCAGCAGGGGGCTTCATCCCATGACCCTAAAAGCATGGCCTGAGCTGGAACCAAGAGTTGAACTCCTGAGTGACAGAGCCACGCAAGCACCCCTGGTGCATTTCTTGACCATGGCAGGATGTTGCATCTGGAAGTATTGACAAGGTTATCTGTTGTTTGGTAAGCAAAGGTCGGATTTCAATAGACCTAAAACAAAAATGTTCTTACTTTGAATGTCTGATGAACGATATTTGCCAATACAGGGAACTGGGGTACTAAGGGTGCCTCCCTGCAGTATGTGATAACATGGCAGTGTTAAGGTCTTAGTGAAGTAGAACTCAGCGAAGACGAAGATTTGTAGTACATCGAGAACACCCCCACGAACACTCGTGTTTGCCTAAATTACTTTCTCATGTTTCCCCTAGATGTAGAAGCATTTTGACCCAGGGATTACAAGTAATTCAAGACAACAATTTTCCTTGCGAAAATGCTTTTTACTGTCTTGTTAAAGAATAGTAAATAGCAATGTGTGTTTGACAACCCTCCTGCTCATATCGCTCTCCCAGGCTTTGTACCCAGGTACCAAGAGCTGCAAACACACTGCAGTTCCCCTAGAGCTGATGGGCGGAGTGGTGGCGGGGATTTCATGCCAGTGCTAAAACTGCACAAATCCATGATTTTGCGAGAGTGGAAGAAGAAAGTGAAGCTCAGTGCAAGGCATTTGTAGACCCTCAACGTTGAGATTGCTTTCAGAATGTTAGTTTTGCTCATCAACTAACACAGCAAACATTTATTTGGTATTTGCTATTTGTCAGGCATGGTGTAGACATGGATCTTTTTTTTTTTTTTAAGATTTTATTTATTTATTTATTTGACAGAGATCACAAGTAGGCAGAGAGGCAGGCAGAGGGAGAGGGGGATGCAGGCTCCCCGTTGAGCAGAGAGCCCAATGTGGGGCTCAATCCCAGGACACTGAGATCATGACCTGAGCCACCCAGGGGCCCCAGACATGGATCTTTTCAGCTAACCGTCACGCCACCCCTCCGAGAGCTAACAATGAGTGAACATTTATTGAATCCTTACTATATGCCAGGCATTGATCTAGACTCATTAATATGGTACTTCATTGAATCCTCACACAATCCTATGGGGGAAGGGACTATTCTCTCCCTTCTATGGATAAGGAAACTCAAGTTTGGAGAGGCTAGGGGAGCTGCCGCAGGTCATCTAAGCGCAGAAGGAGGGAGAAATCCCACAGCGACCTCAGAGCCTGCACGCCTGGTCACGGAACTGTAATAAGGCGTGGAATGCTTTGAGGCTACTGACATCAGAATTAAGATACTTTGGCATCTGCCCTCATGCCGGACAAAACGTTTTGTGTTAAGATCTGCTTTCGGAGTGCTGACAGCGCTGTGCGGTAAAAACAAACCACACAAAACTCTTCAAAAAACCAGGAGAAGGATCCTGAAAACAATTCAGCCGCGCTCCACAATTACAGCACTGCAGCCTTACCGCTTACTGGCCGCATCCCAAAGTCCTCATAAAAATCGAGTTTATTTGGAGGACCGTGTTTAAGAAGCCGGGGTCCATGGGCTCGCTCTTGCTGAGTGACTGAATTAACTCTAGGTTCGGGGAACTCTTAACGACGCAGACAACTTTTTCGTGATTCCTTGGGTCGAGATTCAACAGCTCACGGCCTGTGGGCGGGCTCTCTCCTGCTCTCCGTCCAATCACCGCCCGCCGCTCCGCAGGTCCCCGGCCGATTGGTGGTTGCCATAGCTCCGGTTGGTTTGACAAGATGGCGGCGGCGAGGCGGCGCGGGCCGGGTCTTCTGGCCCTGTGCTTCCCAGCTTCTAAGGCGGGCGCGGTTCTGTGAAGCTAGCCCGCCAGGCCCCAGGCATGGGCTTGCCGCCTCCGGCCCCTCTGCTCTTGGGGCTCCTCCTTCTGCTGGGCATCCTGAGGCTGCTGTGGGGGGACCTGGGTGTGTACCGCAGGGCAGAGGCCTGCAGGCTGCGGGTTGGGGATGAGGCGTTTAAGGGGCCAGACTTGGGACTCCTCCCGGTGTCCTTGCAACCAGTAAGTCCGCCCTTCCCCTTCCTTCCCGCCTAGTTTTCATTCCTGCTTTCATCCGCATGACCGGTCCCGCGGTCACTGCGTCCCTGGTGGGAGGCACCGAAGATGTGACCGTGTCCCTGACCCTGCTGCAGGACAAGGAAGGTAAAACCTCCGGCCCTTCCTGTGGGGGTGGCGTTGGGGGGGTGGGGTGGGCCGGGGCCAGTCCGCCCAAGGAGCCCGGGGAGGTGGCATCGCAGGATGTGGCATCCCCGGGGACCTCAGACGCCACCCCCACAAAGTCACCATGGGAGCAGGGCTGGGAGGCTGCTGTGGACCAAAGAGGACCGACGGACGGGCTCGGGGAAAGAGAGCTTGGGCCAATAATGGCTAGCATTCACTGTCCCCTTTGCTTCATGTGCACCCCCGCGTTTTCCCAGCAAGAACAGTAATATCCTTTCATGCCATTTAACAAATGAAGACACTACAGAGAGGCTGTCACTTGTCACTTGTCCACAGCCGTACAGCTTGTAACAGGCCCAGTCCTTGGGTGGGAAAAGGATTCCCTCCCAGGGAGCCTGACTGCAGTCTGCACACCCTTAACTGCTGGGCAATGGTGTCTGCGTCCTAATCTCTCCTATAGGATTATTGCCGGTTCCAGCTTGTGGAGTGCTGACCAATGAGACGGGAGACTGGAGCTTGACTGTGACCCCCACTGTGGTAAGCCAGAGGTAAAATGTTCTCAGTGCCACCAGTGGAGACCCACAGTTATCTGCCCAGCTCTCTTGGTTGGACATGGTACAGATTTCTCTGTCCTTGGAACTACCATGACC